TGTGTGAGAGAGTGAGTGTGTGTGTGTGTGTGTGTGTGTGTGTGTGTCAGGTTGCAAAATGATTTTTTTTATATTTAAATATATTTTTTAATTCTATTAATGTGTTTAATTTTATTAATCATATTATTAACCAACTGTAATGATAAAATAAATAGAAAATACTATAAAAATAGTCAACTAAATTGGAAAAAGATTAGTTAACACAATCAAATGCATATAAAAATGTTACTGGATGGATGAGGATTTAAAAAATAACAGTTACCAATAATTATAAATAGTTCATATTGCTAATAATTAAAAATGACTACTACTTATAATGAATAATGATCATTAAAAAAATTGGTGTTAAATGGGATTTGTAATGTGATTAATCTTAACGTCATAAAATAAATGTATTACTTAATAAATTGTATTAAACAGGATTCACAATTATTAAATACTAATTTTCTAAAGCCTATTGTCAACTAAAAAAAAAATGCATGAGCCCCAACTTCCTGTTTCAACAGGAAATATGTTATACCTTCAGTTATTTATTTATAGGGTTTTTCATATTTTGGAAGGTTATTGCTTAAACTTTCTAGCAGATAAATATTATGAGAATATAATTCAGCAATATCTGTTTATCTTCATGTAGTGTATCAATTGAGAGAGAATATGTATGAATGTATCTGTTATCTGCAATAAAACAGACTGTTAATAAATATCTTCTTGTGTCTGATTTCATATTGCCTGAGAACAAATAAGGCTCTTTGAACAATAAATGACATCTCACATACAGTAAAAGAAGATGTAGCTTGAGAAATAACTGACTGAATTAAGATTAGAGTGACACACACTTAAAGAAGCTCATCAAATCACATTATTCCCTGACTACCAGACACTAGATATTAAACTGAACATCATGAAATGTGTTTAATGAATCCTTTAGTTGTCTTTCATGCTACAGTCTATACACACACACATTTGTTAATAACGGCTGTGCAATATTTCTGCTTTTCTGCAAAATGGCATTGAATCATACGGAAAACTGCTGAGCTATGATATTTATCAGCCAAAGCATCATCATAACCTCATAACAGAGACATGGCGCCATCTATTGGTCATTCTGATGCAGTGCAGAATATTGCCTGAGAACAAATAAGGCTCTTTGAACAATAAATGACATCTCACATACAGTAAAAGAAGATGTAGCTTGAGAAATAACTGACTGAATTAAGATTAGAGTGACACACACTTAAAGAAGCTCATCGAATCACATTATTCCCTGACTACCAGACACTAGATATTAAACTGAACATCATGATATGTGTTTAATGAATCCTTTAGTTGTCTTTCATGCTACAGTCTATACACACACACATTTGTTAATAACGGCTGTGCAATATTTCTGCTTTTCTGCAAAATGGCATTGAATCATACGGAAAACTGCTGAGCTATGATGTTTATCAGCCAAAGCATCATCATAACCTCATAACAGAGACATGGCGCCATCTATTGGTCATTCTGATGCAGTGCAGACAGACCATGAGATATCGCCATATTCCATAAACTGCCAATATAATATCTCTGAAATGTACATAGCATCATTAATGCTAATATAAAATTGTATTGACGTATATATATATATATATAATTATTTTTAAATGCACATGCATCCAGTGGGACATTTTAATGTATATTTGATAATTTTCAAATTTAGTATTTTTAATATATATTATTTTACATTTATTTTATTATTACAGTTGATATATAATTATTAATACCTTTTATAAATTAATAAAAAAAATAAAGAAAGAAATAAATTGAATATAAAAATATTATTATATTTATTATATTATTATTTTTTTATATTTTGCAACTTATATATGTTACGGGGTTGACAAGACGTGAGACGTGCGGATCCATCTGCAAGCTTTTATTTAAGAGACGTGGTCAGAAACAGGCAAGGGTCAGACAATGGCAACAGGTATATAGAGGGCAAGACACAAGAATAAACATCATAACCTCATAACAGAGACATGGCGCCATCTATTGGTCATTCTGATGCAGTGCAGACAGACCATGAGATATCGCCATATTCCATAAACTGCCAATATAATATCTCTGAAATGTACATAGCATCATTAATGCTAATATAAAATTGTATTGACGTATATATATATATATATAATTATTTTTAAATGCACATGCATCCAGTGGGACATTTTAATGTATATTTGATAATTTTCAAATTTAGTATTTTTAATATATATTATTTTACATTTATTTTATTATTACAGTTGATATATAATTATTAATACCTTTTATAAATTAATAAAAAAAAATAAAGAAATAAATAAATTGAATATAAAAATATAATTATATTTATTATATTATTATTATATTATTATTTTTTTATATTTTGCAACTTATATATGTTACGGGGTTGACAAGACGTGAGACGTGCGGATCCATCTGCTTACATTCATTAATAAAGTTAACAGAAAACTCTTCATTTAGCATCATAATTTAAAATTA